TAAAAGTTATCCACATACATCAGGATTATCGCAAGCAATCATTTCCCCATAGCTGACTTGGTTGCACAAACAATAAGTCGGTTCATTGGGATCAACTGGTAGATCCAATTCCATGCTAGTTGTGTTTATTGCTGTTGGTGCACCTGCATTTCCCGAGGCTGAGGCTGAGCCAGAAGCACTTGTTGTTGCCATACGTGTCCTGTACCCGACATCATTTGTTTTCATGTAAAAATTTTTTCAGGTAGCAACCTATGAAAATGCTTTTCTCAATACAAAGGATCAAATCCATGGTATCCTATAAACAGCATCTCTAGAGTGCTCATTGGCAATGGGCTTCCACGGATAGTTATGCTATTTGACTGAGTACTTAAGTTTAGGATACCCAGGTCAGTGAAAATGTGTTTCATCCAAACCAAGTGTCATCACACAAAAAATGTTACAATATGGAAAAGCTTACTTTTTACGCCCTCTGTTACTAGTTTCACCGGACCTTCCAGCTTTCACGTTGTTATCTTGCATTTGAGGAGATCCACTGCCAGCTATGTTATCTCTTTCTGCTCATGTGACATCAAACTTACTTACAACTTAGGAGAACATTTCATTTGTTGTTTTTGCATCTGTGTTTATGCAATGACAAGATATATGAGATGACAAAGCCACAAGATAAATACCACGACGGAGATCTTCATCAAATTTCTTCAAATATTGATCAAGCTGTTGAATGTGAGTGTCCACCTATGAAGAAACAACAAATAAACCCATTTCAGTCCCACAGTCGAAACAACTAACGAACAGGTTATTCATATGAGCCAGACCTGATTACAAAGCTGAACTCCTATGTCACTAAATTGTCCACAGGGTAGTAAGAAAACATGTGAGAGAAATTAAACTCCAAAAAATGTAACAAATAAATCAAGAATCGGTCGTTCTTGAGATCATAAATTCATTTCTCAGTATTTTGGTTTTATAACAAAGAACTAACCTGTAACGACTAAAAAGCAGGTTTTTATTAGCATTTCATGAAATGCATCAAAGAAAATCGCTAATAAACAGGGCCAGGTCATAATCAAATTTGATATACTAAAAGGAAATAAACATGAAGCACCCTTAATAGGTTCTTAGTCAAGTGCATGCCACAGATTCTCTTCCATAAAAGACGAGTCCAATTGGCTAAAAACCTGTTGCACAAAACTACACAAGAGACGTGACTAAAAATAATCCCACTCTACCACAATATAGACACCGAAGTTGGAGTAAACCCAAAGCCAATAATGCAAAGGTACTGATATTTTGGGAATCTTCCAGTAGAGTTCACTCGTCAGCTTTTTTGGAGACAAGTACAAAGAGTACTGTTTTCTTGAGAACATAGTGTTACAAGTTAATTCATGTCCATAAATAATTCATCATGACCTTCCCACAGTAGTTCACGTGCCCAAAATTATAACATAAGCTGTTTAACTAGAAGCTGCATTCGTGAACTGTTCTTAGAAGAGGTTTAACATATTATTGTTTCAGAATGTATTAGATCCCTGAGCAGTCATTTTCTTGATCAGTTCGCATGTGTCTCCATTCCTTAAAAAATAAATAAATAAATAACAAACATCCACCAACAAGTCCTGGGAAAGGAAACCTCGGTGATAAAAGTGGCTACCAAAGTACAAAACAATGAGAGTACTGAACCAAGATGTGCTTTGAATAATTCCTGTCTTGGAAACACAAGAAGTATAAGGCACAGGTTTGCAGTTGTTCACAATAGAAATTATAAGTCCCCTACATACCAAATCATAAGCTTGGACAGCCAATGCAACTTTTTCATCAGCAATCCTGATGGCATGTTTCTGCTCATCAAGAGCATCATCAGAGAATTTGAGGAGAGACGAATTTGGAGTGATGCTACCAGACTTTATACCGCGTTTCATATCATCTATTTCTTGCTCACAATGCTGCTCATTTTGCCTCTGGATTTCTATTCAACAGACCAAAAGGTAAACTAAATTGGGAACTCGGAAGCATGAAACATAAACAGACAGACACTGATGCAAACTCTGGAAATGCTACACAGATTTATAATCTCCATCAAACAAGAGGAAAGAATGTTGTCAAAAGAATGTGGAAGCATTCAAATACTTTTAGGAGGAACTAAGCCAATTCTAGCGATAAGCCGGTAACCACAGATGCTCGAAATGAACAAGAAGCTACTCATTCAGCATGAGGAGAAGTGAAATAAAATTGAGTGGAAGAGAAGCGCTAAGATTCAAGCAATAGCATAAACAACATAAACCTGAAGAACATAAGGATGAGCACACAATTTTACAGGTTTCCAATTGCACCAGGAATAGCAATATCAGCCAATTACCATAAAGAGACTTCTACAATGATTTCTCTATCTTCCTTGATCCACAAAAAACATAACTTACCCACAATTTGAATCTATTCAACCGCTTTTTGGGAATAACAAACATATTGTATAGAGCGCAATGAATAAATGTAGAATTTGAAAACGAATGATCTGGTAGAACAGACGGGGCGTACAGACCTCAGTCCAAAACTTAAGGAAAAATAATCTAGTTACGAAAATATCCGGCACAAGACAAACAATCTAATGGCTGACTATTCTTAAGATAATGAAATGAGTAAATGTTTCTTTTACAGCGCACCATAAAATGAGATTCAACTCTCACAATCAACTAAACAATATACATTTCAAGGAGGGGAGAAATAACAAAGAAACAAGAGTGTATTGTGCTCTCATACGGAATCCCACATACCTTGTAAGCTGTTATCCAAGTCTCGCAGTAAAGCATATTTTCTTTGCAGTATATTCGGCAAGGCTTCAATATCTATTCCAAAACAGAAACAAGAAAATTACATCATCCAATAGGCAAATGAAAAAACTTACAGAGATTAGTTATATTTGTTTAAGAAGCCATAAAATTTTCGTATTTCAGGACATTGTGCACGACAACCTAAAGTACCTAAATTGAGAGGTTTGCTTGATAAATTATGCAGAAACGTCACAAGAAACAGGGCTATAATACAGATACAAATCTACACATGAGTTAATAATCATCAATTCATTCTCCGTGAACATAATTTTGCTTAACTGAAAAAAATAGACAGAAATGAAGTAGAGCCATACCACTGAGACGAACTAGGGTTTCAATAGAAATGGGCATAACTAATCAGAATAAAAGATTTAAACATGCACCAAGGAAACTTATACTTACTAGCTTGAAATTCGTCGCTTATGGACATGCCTTCGACAACAAATTTGGGAAACTTCTGATGAGCTGCAAAGATTTATGCTGAATCTTCCCGCCAGATGAGAACGACGAAATGCGAGCCCCCATTGAAGCCAATAAATATATATAAGATTCGCTTTAGATCTAAATGACATCATTGCCCCTTGAATGCTTAACGACAGTATGGCACATATGGATCCAACATTTGGCACCTATTATCTTTAGCCCAGTGTACATGGGGCATGCAAATTTAGGGCTGCAGGGGATACAAAAAACTTCACCGAAGTGGATTTTTTTTTTTTTAATTAGAGCTAATTTAGAATTAAGTGGATTTTTTTAATTAGAGTTAATTTAGAAAAAAATGATATGATTAATTATGAGTGGATTTTTAAGTTTATAATAAAATAATATTTAAAATAAAATAATTAATGTTGATTTGATGTGAAAATAAGAAAGATATAATATGAAGTGATGATTAGTTAAAATTATGTAAGAGGATGAACAATGAATTAAAGTAGATGTGGTGTGTAAGAATGATTGGGTGATATTATTTAATTATATTGATAATATTGAGGATAGTAGAGTTGAGTTAAAGATGAGCTAAATTTTGAGTTAAATGAAATTTGGAGTGAAAATATTTGTATCCAATCAAGTCCTACAATTTTCGTTCTAAGTTCACCACTGTTCAATTTGGCACAAAGAATTTGTCCATCATAAGAACATAGTTCGCTAAGTTATTATTATTTTATTATTTAATTGCTTAGTCCTGTTGCATAAGATAAAACGATGATGTGGATGAATATCAAACTTACGTGGATATTTCTTTGAGTTCATTTCTTCTCTTTCTTTTTTTGTGATAGAACTTGCATTCAACAAACAAAAAAAAAAATGTTTATAAATAATACAAGCCGAGAAGCTAAATAGCACCCAATAAACAAAGGAGAACCATCCAAATTAGTAGCCTAAATAAATACAAACCAATACACAATACATCTAAAAGAAAAAAAAAATAATTGAGCCACTTAGACATATCACAAAGAAGAACCAAGAATAGGTACTATTACAAAGAAACAAAACCAAACCAGTTGAAGTACCGCTGAACTCAGAAGAGACCTAGTAGCTCTCGCTAGTTGATCAGTTGTTACTCTTAGAAGTCACCACATCAAACATAACCCATTTATTCCAGGTTTTGGAATTTTCAGAGATTCCTAAACTTTCAGAGCTACCATGAAATGTAGGTACTCAACTAGATCGTCTCCTCAGAAACCAATCTTCTATCAACGATACATACCCCCCACCACCAGCTCTGAAGTTTTGAGTCTTAGCTTCCATCCCATTTGTTGTAGCAAATTATGTTATTCCCTGAGTCGATCTCTCGAGGAAGGTTGCCAAGATTATTTTGCACGTGTATTCAATTACAAAAAGGAAAATAACTCCTAAACACTCTAATCAAGATGGTTTGGTTTTAATTATCAACTAAGAACTCTCAACAATGTAAATTCAAATATCAACCCAAAACAAGAATCAAGCAATGAATAAGAAGCTAGGGAGTCAGGAATATTTATTTCGGTTCGACTAGCAATTATCGAGCAAGAGATCATTCGGTTAAAGGATTCGAATAACCTACCCGTTCAGAGATTCACCCTCAATAACTTTTTGTAACAAGAGAGTAAACATGAACGGCAAATCAACGAGTTGTTTAACACATAGGCAATACAGTTACGAACAAGCCTATTTTATATGAGTTTAGATCGATCAACTCCACTCCTTTTGGTTCTCAGAGTAGATTAAATTGGACTAGAAGGTGGTTAACCGACTAATCTTTTATAATTAAAAACTTCACACAAGAACGAATCATATTCAATCGTGAATCAATTGTAAATTGAAGTGTCACTCTTCAATAATATTCAACATTCAAGCATGATAATTGAAAAGCCTATTTGAAATCAACTCGCATAAATTGAATAATCATCAAACACGATAATCACAAACGAATTCCAAACATCATCCCCTATATATATCTAGCGAATCGAATTAGCTACTCATATGGAATTCAAAAAATCAATGAAATTAACCCAAGCAATCATATTCATCGATGAAATGAAAAGAAAAACTTACGATTAATAAAGAACCGAGAGTCGAATCCAATGAAACAAGCTTAATCCAGAAAATTAAAGAAGAAAAATAAGCAAAAAGCCAAGATCCAATTCTTTGTTCTAGGGTGCAAAAGAGAGACAAACGAGATTGGGTATGTTCCCCCAAGTCTGGGGACAAATTTTATTATATAAGGCTAAAAAAATCGAGCCAAAATGAGGAAAAAAACGAAAAAACAAAAGAAATTAAAATTTACCCGCGCCCAGGCCCTAGCGGCGCTAAGCGGGTGGCCTGGGCGCGTCGGGCTCTGGGCACGCGCACTAGCGGGCGTAGCGGCGGTAAGATGCCTGGCTCTTATTCTCTGTTGCGCGCTAGCAGGGGCAGCGACGCTAGGCAGCCTGGCAGCGGCCGCTAGCTGGCGCCTTGGAGCTGGTGGTCGGCTTGCACTATTTTGCTTCTCGGGCTCGTTTGTGCTTGTCCGAACTTGGAACCGAGTTCCATTTTTTCTACTCGTCACCAACGAACCCTTCAGTTAATTATGCTTGCAAAGTCAACTTTCTCTTAAGATCCTACCTTCCCAAAGCTTCTGACCTGCATACCAAAAAACGAGACAAAAAACGGAGAAAACTGGAAAACGAACTAAAAAACACAGAAACACTCAAAATGAATGAAAACACGCAATAAACAACAAAAACAACCAAAAACCAAGAAAACGACCTAAAATGGGGAAAAGATAAAGATAAAATAACAACGAAAAATGCAACAAAAATGGGACAAACAACTCCCCCACACATAAACCTTTGTTCGTCCCGAACAAAAAAAAAGAAAAGAAAAACAAACAAGCAAACGAGCATGGAAAACAATTTCAGATAAGAAAAGTCTTAAATTAATCAACTTAGCCGAGGAGACTTCAAATGACCAATAGAGCATACCTCAATTACAACTCGAATGCTACGCTTTGAAAACATAGACTCTCAAGCACAGTAATATAATATATATAAAATGCCTCACTCGGTTTCTTACATGAATACGAAATGGGTACGCTCAAATTAGTCGATGATCAAGTTTCAACATAAGCTTGCTTATTGTCCATGGATACTCTAAAACAATCAAGGTTCATGAACTTGTAAATCAAGAGGACTTCCCGGTTGCAATGTAGGCATTTTGGTCAAGAAGGATAAATATAAAGATGAAGTGGCTCAAATAAACAATCACACTCTCGAGCAAATAAATTGCTCGAATACCTTGTCACCCATGTTAGTGTTATATACTGAAAGCTTGACTTTAGATGATATTACACTTTTACCCTTTATGAATGAGAAACATGTTTGATTAAACAAGTTCTATGTTCTATTGTTTTGCACTTAGTTAGAATGGATCATTATCGGGTGAACAGAAGATCATTCTATCAGTTACTTGCGAAACAAGAATTCTGGTTCAAAACCTAGATGGAAATGAACACCCCATCTGAACGGTTGTAGTGTCAACAGTACAGTTAGTCTTGACTGATTAGTTGCACTAGTACATTTATGTATTGAACAGGATCCCAGAGAGGAGAAGTTCGTTTTATACTGATCGTCGTAAACAAACTAGGCCTCAGTTAGTTACTGCATTCTCTTAACCCGTAAGATATTAAACAGGCATATATATGCAGTACATATTACTTTGATTCACCTGGGTGAGATTCAGTTCACTGGATCAATAGTCTTACTGTCTTGCGTAATATTGTTGTATGTATGATGTATTATTAGGATATTTACGGTCACCATGTATGTCCCCGAAGTGAGTTCATGAAAGATTGTTATGCTAAACCCTGTAGGTGGATTAAGTTCCGGTATAATAATAATGTGATGAAATGCCATTTTGGAGTTTTATCAACAATTTGGTAATAAAATATATTAAATAATTCTTGATTGTCAGTAATCGAATTAATTAATGGACATTATATCTTAAATATGGGGAGGTGATTCGGGTAATTATAATTGGAGTCTCAAATGTAATTTGGGCTAGAAAAAGTGAGTGCAATAATATTACGTTAGTGGACCGTAATATTATTTAAGTAATTAGAGGAGTGGGCCAGGCCCACAGTTAGTCCATTACTTAAGAAGCCCTAATCCTAATATCCTAAGGATCCCTATTGTAGCTCTATAAATATATCATTAAGCTAATTGTATAGATATAGAAGAGAACAAAAGTGCCCAAACGTGATTATACAGACCGCACGTCCTCTCTCTCTCTTCTCTCTTTAGAATTTCATTCGAGCTTTATCTTCTTCTCGTTGCTCCACCGGTACGAGTTGAAGAGGTGTTTGAGTAATACGGTAGAAGATACCAAGATAACTGAGACATACATTCATCAACCCGAGAGATCCACAGTCGACGACCGCCGACAGCCGTGAGCCCGACGACCGCCGAGACCAGCCAGAGGCAACGCGATGACCGCCACAACGCACGGCCACTCCATGGTGATCCACACAGCCCGCGACATGACCTGATCCCTTCGACACATGACCGGCCTATCCCGCCACCCGTTTGTGTTCCCGACATCCTCGTGACGTGTTGTTCCTAGTCATCTCGAATCCGACAGATTCAAAAAATTTTAAGCCGTAAGTTTTCTACGTCAAACCTTTAGATCCGCTGTGTATAGGTTTACGTTTGCATTGAATTCGTGACTTGTACATAACGAGATCCTCATAGACCCCAACAAATATTATTAGAGCACTTGGTTAATTTGTTTTGTACACAGTTCGAATTTTCACTACTTTATTTGTCAAAATGTGTTCAAGCGCAGTAAAATATATTAGATTATATTCGCATAACTCGGTTTTGCAGGAATTAGTTAATCCACTATTAAGGCCGTATATGTATTTGATAAATGTTGTTGAATGTGATGAATGGTTTTAAATTTATTTTTAAAACCTCAGACATGTTGTAGAGTTTATGGATGCATGTTTGTAATAATTATGAGCCTGGTGGTTGACTGGATAGAATTAATTATTTGTTTAGAAAACATGT